ACATGCATGTCACTGAGGATCCCCCACTTGTATCCCATAAATGCTTCAGCCTTAATCCAAATACCCTGCCTGTAGTTGTTATTTACCAAAAAATACTTGAGGGTCCAAGACCCCTTTATGGGTCTCCCACTGTCCTGACTAGCTTTGCCCTAAACCTTATTGATGTGTGATAAATTTAAGCAAATACTGATTTTTTTTCCTGTTTCAATCAATGGGCCATAAAAGTGATAATATTGTCTGGATCACACTCACTGTGCCTTTATTGTAAATATTGGAAGACAGATGATACTCCTGCCCAGTCTGCATTGTTTTGTGGGAAAACTAATCTTCCTTGCATGCCATGGCATAGTAGGATATATTACATTTATTTCCAATTCACCTATTAAAAGCTTATTGTATGGGTGACATTCACTCTATCGATTTTTGCCTCACAATAGGACATTCACTCTATCGATTTTTGCCTCACATGAATCCCATGTAAGCCTACTTCAGGTACTTAAGGGGAAGAGGACATGGCAGTAAGTGAAAGCTTTCTGTTGTGCCTAGGTCTTGAAAACAAAATAGCTAAAACAATAGTTTTGTTACACTGAATATGCCTACTACATCCTTTATACCAGGGGTTCCCAGTGTGGCACTCATGGGTGTCATGGTGTAATTTCAGTATTAGCCTGACCTCTTGCTGTCAAACCCCTGGTCCCCTCCTCAGTTTCTGGACATGAAATAACATTGAAAATACCCAGTTGACCTACAGACCCTGTGGTACAGAACTCACCATATCACTATGTAATGAGGTCTAATATGAAGTCCAAATCCATGTGAAATCCAAATGTACTCCCCACATTTGTAATTAGCCTTCATTTCTCTGGCTTAGTTTTTGATTTCATCTCTCTCCTTTTGCCTCCACTGAAAGATCCTTTCTTAGAGGTGATATATTAAAACCAGAAACTCCTTTGAGTGCCCTCGAAAGGATTTTGCAATGGCCAGTTTGTTTTGTACAGAAGCAAAGATGTCTCAACCACAAAGCTGTCACAAGGATATAGCCGGCACCGCTTCTTTAATGGCAGTACACTAGATTCCATATTTATACTCTCGTTATCTGGCAGCAGGATCTGACCCAAGGATCTTACGCCTACAAAATAATCCTTATATGTTCTTTTGTCCTGAAAGCTTCATAATAAGGCCTGAACCTGTCCACCACCACTTTTCTTTCCGTGTTATGATCTTGTAACTATTCTGTGATGTTAAATGCAGACAGGAAATAGGAATAACAGCAAGATTGTCAACATTACAACCAAAAGAAAATACTCTTAACAAAAAAAAAGGGCTCAGGCATAGATAGGGCTACTGAGAGCCATTACAGACCCACAGATAAAAACACTGCCTGTCCCCAGTGCCCTTTCCTCGGTGGGCCTGCTCAACCATGGCCAGTAGATTTTCTTTTTACACTTTTTCTTTCTTTCTTTCTTTGTTACAAAGACATTAAAAGCAGATCAGGCCCCAACACAAGCCTCATAATATAGTAAAAGCTGCATATGTCCAAGAGAAAACAACAGTGACCCAATGTGTTTTGACCCAATTTGGACTTTTTCAGGAGGTAACCGGTGGGGGGAACTAGATGACCCTGGAGGTCCCTTCCAACTCTATGATTCTATTGTACAAGGAGGGTCCCATTACAATCAAAAGACAATACACAAATAAATACAGGACTAAAACAGGAGTGTTGTTAAGGAAGAAAATAATAATATTTCAATAATAGTTTTTACACTTCAAGGAGTGTTGCATGATAAGAATATTCTTGCAGAGCACCTTGCAGAGCACCAGCTGTAATACTTTGTTTAATAATAGTTTCAGTACAAGCAGATGTTTTTATTTGTTTTTTGTTTTGGTTATGCTGGAACACTTTGTTTTTCCCATTGTCCTTTAATATTTCAAAATACCAAATACAAATTTTTTTATATATGAGAGGAGATAAAAACACTGGCTTCTTGTTTTGCTTTAGTATTTTGCAAATGAATGTGATTCATGGTAATATAGAAGATCTTTTAAAAGTTAATAGAAATAATTAGAAACAATGGAATACAGAATGAAAACAAAAGAAACAAAATTAAAAAGAACTACAGCAAAGAAACTTTTCTTTTGCAGAAATGTGGTATATTGTACTGTTCTAGAGCTCATTCTGTGAAGCTCATGGACTGGTGAGGTAATTCTTTGCACTATCATTCTAAGCCAACAGTAAGCTTAAATCACTGAACCATTCTGATGACATTTTTTAAAAGAGTCCCTTTGCATTTACACCATAAGGAGTCGTTTACCACAGAAAAAGACAAACAGGCAGACCGAGAGATCAGCTGCTTTGTCACTCAGCTGGAAAAGACTGAAATCCAGTGCTGGCAAAATGCTACCCATTCAATCATGTTTGTAGCCATTTTTCACAAACGATTGGTTATACATATACAAAGGAGAAAATATGTGGATTATGTATGTTAAATGCATACCTATAGATATCTGTTTTCAAAAAGATTGAATACTTACCTTGTTAAAGTCAAATGTCTCAAACATTTGTTCAATGTACTGATTTGATGATGGGCTCAGGTTTTTCAAGCCAAAAAACTGTTTGAATTCATGTAGGGTAAGCTGGCCTGAGGGACACTCTGTCATGAACTTCTTGTACCACTGGTGGCACTCGGTAGCACTCAGTTCCTCCACGGCCTTTCCATCCATGTTCCCCATTTTAAAGCAAAAAAAGATGGGCACGTATGTGAAGAACTGTGGATGTCTTCTAGAAGTGGTCCCTTTTTGAATTTCAAATGTGCGTGGTATGAATTGTACAGCAACAACGCGGTAAATCTCCTAAGAGTAAAGTTAGTTAAATATCATGAATGCCTGGGAGATGAAAAAGGCTTCCTTCCTGAGAAAATTTCACACTATCTGAAGGAGTTTTAAAATTGCAAAAGTCTCTTCAAAGACACTCCTGACATTTAAGTAAGCCACTAAATCCTCCATCAGCCAATGAGAGAAGAGCCTTGTGATGGTATCCTAAAAGGGACATGAAGAGTTCAGAACAAAAATAGAAAGGCGGTAAAATGGGGGAGAGTCTTGCAGATTATGGTCCCAGCAGGAGATTAAAATGGCAGGATTTAATTGAAGACAGCATAAGCTTCTAATCCACTGCACTTTTGTTAGCCTGTGTGAAAGGCCTAACAGGACACATGATGGCAAAATACTTTTACTGTGTTTTGATTGTTTGCTATAATATCGTTATGGAATGGTGAAGTAGGGTGAGACCAAACACCTGTCTAGCTGAAGATGCAGCTGTGAAGGACTACCCACCAATCATGTCTCACAGTTCATCCATCACAATTTGCACCATACTATTTAGGGTTGCCAGCAGTGGGTTGGAAAATACCTGGAGATTTTGGGGGTGGAGCCTGGGGAAGGTGGGGTTTGGGGAGAGGAGGGACCTTAGCAGGGTATAATTCAGTAGACTCCACCACCCGAAGCAGCCATTTTCTCCAGGGGAACTGATCTTGGTCATCTAGGGATCAACTGGAATAGCAGGTCTCCAGGTGCCAACTGGCGGTTGGCAGCCCTAATACTGTTCCTTAGACAGAGATCAGGCATACTGCATAAGAATCCCAGAAGAACAGTAACTGCAGATGACTCAAGAAAGCAAAAACTTAAAAGCAAAACATTACAAGACAAGATTTAAAAAGTATGGAGAAAGGATTTCTAAAAAGGATCGTGGGCCTTTCAGACTGAAGGCAAGGCATCCTGCTTTTAGCCACAAATGACCATTTTGCTTTTTTTGTTTTGTTTGAATAACTGTGAACAATAGCATGTTTTAAGTTAAGAAAAGAACATATAGCAAAAAAGGCTGTCCAGTATTGGATGTGCTTGTGACAGATGGTCTTTTACAGTTAGCAGCAGTGTTCCCTCTAAGCTGACTTAGTGTGAGCTAGCTCACAGTCTTTTAGCCTCTGGCTCACAGATTTTTGTCTTAGCTCAGGAAGGATGGCTCCAGTGCAAACTGATTTATGCAGTAGCCAAATCGTTTGCTCACAACTTTAATGCCAGTCACTCACAAAGTAGGATTTTTGCTCGCAAGACTCCACGGCTTAGAGGGAACATTGGTGAGCAGGTCCTGTTATTCCTCCTCTTCTCTAGACCAAAGTGTGTAATAATAGTTCAGTATGTTTTGCAATTGTTACAACCCCAAGTTACCAAAGCATGTGAATTTAGCAAGCACCAGAAGACCCCAAAAAGTGACATATCATCACTGAAATAAGCAGATCTCCCTTATAAATAAAAGCCGAATGGTGGTGGCACTTCTCTAGAACATTCCACATGCTCCAAAATCAGTTCGCTCTCTGATCTGTCATTCAGAGGGTCTCCCTATCCACTGGCTGCTTTGCCTGAGTCCTGCCTCCAACATTCTAAACAGTTTGCTCTTCCTCTCCCCCCCCCCCACAGCCAGTCAGAACACAGAGGATTCTCAACCTGTAAGAGGCTTTGGACTCCTTCAGAATTTGGATACAGGTTGATGGGCACAACCAGGGCTATTTTTGGGCAGGAATGCACAGGAACAGAGTTCCGGCTGGCTTCAGAGTTGGCCACGCCCACTACAGCCAAAACCTCTGCGTGCGTGGCTACAGAGGGAAGGCCTGGAGAGTGACCCCCACCAGTGACTCTAGGATGGGTGGGCCAGGGGGGCCTCTGGAAGGATCAGGGAGGCATTTAAATGCCTCCCCGTGCCGTCCCCGGCCTGTCCAAGGGCCGGTTTGCTCGGGCTCCCTGCAACCGTGGGGAGCCCCAGTAAGCCAAGGGCTGGTTTGCCTTGGCTCCCCACAGCCGCAGGGCAACCAGGCAAACCAAGGGAAGACATGGGGGTGTGGCCCAATATGCTAATAAGCTGTGCTGTCAGGGGTGTGGCCTATATGCTAATATGTTTCTGCTGTTGGGTGTGGCCTATTATGCTAATGAGTTCCTGATGGGCTTTTTCTACAAAAAAAGCCCTGTGCGATTTGATTGGCTTTTGCTGGAGATCACTCAGAATTACAACTGCTTTCCAGACGGCAGAGATCAGTTCCCCTGGAGAAAATGGTGGGCTCTGTATCCTTATATGCTGCTGAGGTGGCCCCCTATGACAGCCAATGTGACGTAGCAGTCAGGGCTTCAGAGCACGGGAGAGGCTGCAGGTGTGTGGGGGGTGGAAAGGTGAAGAGTGACGGGGAAATTAAGGTAGCTTGATGATTGGCTGGGAAGGAGATAGGGTTGCCAACTCCAGGTGGGAAATTCCTGGAGATGTGAGGGATGGAGCCTGGAGAGGGTGAGGTTTCAGGAGGCGTGGGACCTCAGACAGGTACAAAGCCATAGACTCCATCCTCCAAACCAACTATTCCCTTCTGTGGAACCATTGTTGCCAATCTCCAGGTGAGGGCTGGAGATCACTCAAAATTACAACTGTTCTTTAGGTAGCAGAGATCAGTTCCTCTGGAGAAAATGGTGGACTCAGTGTCATTATACCCTGCTGAGGTCGCCACAGCAAATTGACCCTGAGTGTCCAAGACTGGGGCACCCGCCCAGAGCCTCTTTCTAGAGCTCGTTGTATTTATTTCCACAACGGGCCTTTTTCCTAGTGTTAAAATATTACTATCCCTCCTTATCCTGCCATTGTCTCCAGTTCCTGTTTTTAGTCTTTAACAGATTCCTGAGAGCTTTTGCCTCCCCCTTTCATACCAAGAACTGTGATTCTCCAACCATTTCTTCAGGTAGGTTGTAGGGATGCCAGCCTCCAGGTGGGACTTGGGGAGCCCCTGGAACTACAGCTCATCTCCAGACTACAGAGATCAGTCCCCCTGGAGAAAATGGAGGCTCTGGAGGGTGGGCTCTGTGGTACTGTACCACACTGAGTCCCAGTCATCCCCCAGGCTCCATCCCTAAATCTCCAGGAGTTTCCCAACCTGGATCTGGCAACCCTACCCCCATCCCCTGCCAGTGGCCGGGGGGAGCTGGCAACTCTAGTAGGTCAGATCCTGCATGATCCTCAATCGAAATGCACACAGCAGCAGAGACCCCTGGGGGGGGGAGACTATTCTACCTATTCCAATGGAAATTCTGCTTTTTGATATTTACTTCCTCTTTTGTTACATTTCAGCTCCAAACTAAAATTTGTCTCCATTTCTATATTTTAAATTCTTTGTCACCTACATTGCTCTTTTCTGATGCTTCCCAGTGTGTTTGCCTGAATTTAAGTGCACTTGTATAAAAATAAAAATACATTGCTCTTTTCTGATGCTTCCCAATGTGTTTGCCTGAATTTAAGTGCACTTGTCCTGAGTGTTGATGGACATGATAACCAATTTGTGTTTCTCATATGCGTAATGCGCTTGTTGTGCTAGCTTTCTCAAAGCCATTTAGCCAAGGAGATGGGATCTTTGTTCTGACATGCAACTGAGCATGACATCTTGTGTGTGTGTGTGTGTGTGTGTGGGTTGTCTTTGCATGTTTACATTCCTAAGTGTAAAACTAGCCAAGACAATCCCAGTGTCTTGTAAAGATAAATTTCTGGTATGCAAAGTCCAACTTTGGCCATGTAGAGAGGAGAGAAGGGTTTACTCCTTCTGTCTTTGTGTGGTTTTACTTATTGTAATTGCCCTTTCATGATTCTGTTAGCTTTGAATGTCAAACACATACACACGCAATGCAAAACACCTGATTTCCCAGTAATCATCACACTCTTTTTATTTATTGTCATATACGCCCTCTCAAATTTGTACTCCATATAATATCCAATAGAAAAGAGCCAAATACCTAAAATGGCAACTTTTCAAACACGTAAAACATTTTTCAGAAGATCTTAGTTGCCAGATCTTGCAAGATCTCATGTGATCCAGTGGGTAGAGAGTTGGATCTTGCAGACGTACATTTAACTCCCACTTTGGGCAAGGTGTCACTGTGGGGGTTGTCTCAGCTACCCATAACGCTTTGCGGTGTGACTCCTTCCCTAGCACGAATCTTCACTAACCTGGATCTTGATAGTTTGTTCTGGGTGTTAACAGAAGCTGTATCTTTGGAAAGGAGGGAGTTCAGATCAAAGATCCAGATACAGCAGAGCACGGAGCTGTTCATGGCTCACTCCCAGAGTTTGCATAATTGGGATTAAGAACAAGAGTGCACCTGTTTATAGCAGAGGAATTACCATGTCTGCAAAGATCTGGGGACAGCCCATACGTCATCAGAGGATTACAGGAAATTCCCTCCAATCTGCTGAGGAATGAGAGCCCCACTGAATGTCAAAATTCAGCAATATTCTGACTTGACTCTGAAGCTTCTCTGTGTTTACGTGCTCAAACACATTTCCCCTTTGCATTATTTTCATTACCCAGGGCTGTTTTCATCTGTCTGAAAGACCTACCCCTGTCCCTCAGAGATACGGACGGTATTGCCAGATGTAATAAATGCCAAGCTGTTTGTTGTTTTCTGCTCTATTTCAGTGTTCCTAAGAGCTGCAGTATCCCAACAACCCTTGTGTAGGAAGCCTATTTCACTCAAAACTATTATCAACAGAGTTACACATCTCCTGCCTTTCTCCTCATAAAGGCTACTGGTCTGGGTAACCATACAGTTTCTTTTCCAAAACCAGCCCTGAAGCTGGATTGATCTAGGTAATCAAAATCATCCAGAATGATTTGAGGTATACTGCCATTGCCAATCCAAGATGGATAGTTAAG